ATTGGTTGTGGGACTTCTCCTTGAGCGTGGGGGCAGATGTTAATGCTCAGGGTGGCTATTATGGCAATGCACTGCAGGCAGCTGCAGCAAAAGGAAATGAAACCGTTGTAGGACTTCTCCTCGAGCATAGGGCAGACGTGGATGCTCCGGGTGGTGAATATGGCAATGCACTACTGGCAGCTGCATCAAGCGGAAATGAATCGGTTGTGGGACTTCTCCTCGAGCGCGGGGCAGATGTGAATACTCAAGGTGGCACTTATGGCAATGCACTACAAACAGCTGCGGTCAAAGGAAATGAAGCGGTTGTGGGACTGCTCCTCGACCGTGGGGCAGATGTGAATGCCCAGGGTGGCCCGTATGGCTACGCACTACGAGCAGCCCAAAAATTACGTCATGAATCGATTGTGCAGTTTCTCCTCACACACGGGGCAGATCCCAATTCAGAGGCTTCGGCACATGACACAAGTGGCCAAACCAGCTAGGAGACTTTCAATTCTTCAGCTATTCGAATATTCTATTCCTACAGCTACCACCGATTCTTGAAGTTGCCCTTTCATATGCCATATTCGTTCACTCTTTCTCGTACTGGTATTTCGCGCGACCGCTGCAAGAAAGCCCAACTCCTGCCTCCGTGCGCCGTGTTCCCGGCAGTCTGCCGCCCCACAACCATACCCTATTCCACACCCCAAACAAACAACTAGTCATATTAATAACTTCGGATTGACCCCTGTTGGACCAAATCTCTTTATTATTATTATTCTTACTACATGTTGGAAATTGTGAGGTGCTTCTTGGCATTCTCTCGCGATGGTCTAGTTTGTTTGTTCGCACACTCTTCGGGAGCCCCCTTAGGTTTCGGACGCGATATAAGTTTGGACGCATAAGCTTCTAGCCGCGCAGTTTGGCTTTTCGAGAAATCGCTTCGATCACGGGAGTGTGCAAGAGTGCGCGGGAGTCTTTGGGGACCTGCATCCGCAGGAAGGGTAGCGGATGGTGGATTGGAAGGAAGGTATGAAGGAAAGCTGTGAGGTCCAGGATGGCAGGTGGTTTGGTAGCCGAAGTTTGTCTTTTCTTTGGTAGCTTTTCGTGATTGCCCATGTGTGGGAGACCTACCTGGGGGGGGAGGTTAGGACTTTCTTTTCGTGTCATTGATATATACCCCTGTCCTTACCGTTAGTCAGATAGATAGACTCAGTGCGCGATAGTGAGAGTGAGGTTGCTAAAGTGAAGAGTTTTTCTTCCCCCGCTGTGAGTTGTGACATCGTTTCAAGTGAGTGATCTTGGAGTTGTTTCGTTTCACGGTCCATCACTTGTTCGTTTAATTTCATACCGCCGTTAGCGCCGCGGTTCGCTCGTTCATTCGACTGTTTTCGCTGCCCGTTCGCGGTTCGTTCGTTCGCGATATCGTGAAAGTCCCTCCCGATCTGCCGCCGAATACTACCGGCCCTTGAGATCAACACTGGATATATTTCCAATCCTATAGGGATATGTCCACACTTTCCCTTAGTCTGTGAATCTATCAATACGATCCTGGTGGCGGGAGCAGGTTGATGAGAGTTTCTCCGTACATGCCGGGAAGGCCGGGAAGGCGTGGAAGGTCCAGAGAGGGAGGGAAGTGCGGTGATGATTTACCAATTTATTCATTAGTTGGGTCTGGTCCTGGGATTTGGAGCTCCCGTTCCATTTTTCTATTCTCCCCCCCCCACCCCTCTCAAGCGGAATATGGCCTTTTTTACAGGTTCGTAGAGGGCTGGTAAGGAGATAGTGTCCCCTTTCCTCTTGGGGGATGCATCGTTTATGGTCTTGTTTTCTCTGTTCTTCGCCTTTATTTTCATTTTTTCAGATCCAGCACTCTATAGACACGTAATCACACATTAGTCACTAGAGCCCCGCGCCAGAGTACGATTGCACATAGAATTTTCCATCGCCCTACAATGCTTTCTGTAAGTCAAATTTGGTAACAGGTATGAGCTAATTCGAAGCATCCATCACCGTCATAGCGGCTTTCCTCATCATCGGCTTCCACCTAGGTCTGCCTTGGTGGTAATGAAGGATTTGTGTTCAATTCGTGGACCTGGTTGTAATTATGGGCCGGAGGAACCCCCACCGCCAGATTCATAAGGCTGAAAATCCGGAAGTGAAATTTCGCTTGGGATCATGGACTGCGAACTCGAGTGAGCAGGATTTCAAATTTTGGAAGAGCCGGGAGTGATTGATGGAAGCCCCAGGTAGTCAACTGCTCACCGCGCATAGCCTCCCCCGAAGTCGAACAGTGAACAACAGTGCAAAACGGGGATCTGCACTGCTACATTCTATCCACTACTGGCCTCTCTTGCTTAGGTTGGGCCGGATCCAGGGGTATCAAACGGGAGACATCCAAACTGCCCCGACAAACCCCCCACGGCGGGTGCTGTATCACCCGGGAGTTATTGCTATTGCAACGGCGGCGGTCCTGCGGGTTCAGGGGGATCGGAACATATATCTTCCGGTGGATGAGCGACGATGCAGAGGGTGTAAATTAAGACAGTTTTCGGAAAAGGACCCAACGAAGCCTTTCCGAGGCTATAGGAATCATGTAACATCACTCGTGAACATTTGGGACGCATTGTTGTGATATCGCTGCGGTTGTTAAGGACTTCCTGATAACCACATGCAAGAAGCATTCTAGACGAATGTGAGGAGATACAAGGAATGGTATGGATTGGGAGGAATGTAGCCACCAGATAGATATCTGGTTGTGGGTTAGATTGGAATGAGGACGAGGAATGGTATGGATTGAAAGGAATGGGGTCACTAGGTGGATTCGGAGATCTGGTCAGTTGGATTCTCTATAGTATATAGTGGTCATCTTCTTCAGTGATAGGGGGGGGATCAATGAAGAAAATACTCGACAATTCTTACTCACCAAAACGATTATATCCTCTCCCGCAAAAGTGCCCAACTGAATTCTCCTCTTTACTCTACCTAAACTCTCTTTTCTACTTCACGCATAGTGCATAGATCTAAAATAAAACCGCATTCTCCAGGTCCACCCAGTCTCAGGTTTCCGAGTCTCCCTCGGTCTGTCCCGGTCCCCTTCCTTATCAGAGACGCGAACCGCGGGCACGGATTTCTCATCCACTACGTTACAATCTGCGATAAGCGAGAATGGTCCTAGGACGTCGAGAACTTCCCCTTTAGGATTAGGGGAAAATAGCGGACCGGCCCCCTTCAGCCCGCGGAGCGGTACCCGAGCCGAGTGAACGGATCACCACCAAAGTACCGGTGAGCTCTAATCATACACATTCCGATCCCCAATTAGTCCTGCCTCCCATCTCGCTACCCAATAATCAAACAAAAAACACTTGGGCGGTCGATCCCAGTTCCAATGTCCATGCACCACACCGCGGGATCAACATTCCAAGGTGCTCGTGAGCCATTTGTTTAGCAAGCTCGGGTTAGACGAATGGTAGCTAAGGTTACACTAACGTCCGAGGCGTTTTTATAGATAACCTGAAATCGGCTCGCAATCCACTCAATACATCAACTCCAGCCATGAGCTTCTCTTCCGAAACCCGTAGTGCTCCAAATTATTATGTGCGCCCCTTTATCCCAGGAATCTTAACTCCGCTTTCGGATCTTCAGCGTACCAAATCTCGCTGTGAGGATACCCCAAACTCTGATTGCACGGAAGGGACAAGGATTG